GTTTTTTGTGCAGCGAGGGTGGATGGAAGCCAAAGGGAGGGAGAAAACGAGAGGAGAAGAGGACGAGAAAACGCGGACACTGTCTGTGAAGCAGTGGCGAAGCGTCCTGGCTCGCCTAGAGCCCTACCAAACAATTTTCTAAGAACCTTTTGTGGTGCCCACGACATATTCTTAGATCATTTCTGGCTCGGACTGTCTTGTTTCATCATATCGGGTTTATGTTCTACGAACATTGCTTTTGTTATTTAGAACTTTTTGGGATTCTAAGGACATTTCGCGGTAGGACTATAGGAATGCCGGGACGGTCGGTCCCTGCTCAATGTTTGGGTCGATCCCTGGTCCTCACCGACGTGCTCTCGCCCGGCGAGTGCCGGCGCCTGCTCGAGGCGTCGGAGGCCGTGGGCTACCGGCCCGACGTGCCGCTGTCGTCGGCGCTGGACGAGCGGGCGCAGAACGTGGTGATCCTCGCCAGCGAGGAGCGGCATCGTCTCACCGATGTCCCCATCCCCACGGGGCCATGGTATCAAGCAGTGGCGAAGCGTCCTGACGCGCCTATAGCCCTACCGAACACTGCTCCAAGAACCTTTCGTGGTTTCCACGAAATGTTCTCAGAACACATCTGGCGGAGTCTGTCCTGTTTGAACACATCGGGTTCATGTTCTAAGAACATTGTTTTTGTTATCTCAACATTTTTGGGTTCTGAGAACATGTCGTGGTAGGACTATAGGAATGCTGGGACGGTCGGTCGCTGCTCATCTCACCGATGTCCCCATCCCCACCGGGCCATTGTACCGTATCTCAGCCCGGCCATCCCAGCCCCCCAGTTGAGGAAAGGCTTCAGTCGGGCCTGTCCATCTACTGGGGGAATATTCAAACATTTAAAGATGGTCTGGGGACGATGTGAGGACTATTTTTGAATATTCTGGAGTATTGTTTGCCTATTCTGAGTTTTTCTTCCAAAATCCCCCTGTAGGGGGACAGGCCCGACCCAAGGATAGGCCCCGAAGGGAACAGCAGGGATCCCGATCTACTCGGGGGGGGGAAGGGTGCGTGCGCCAGCGGGGCCGGGGCCGTGCCAGTGGGGACGGGCATCGGCGAAGCGGTGCGCAGAGGAGCAGAACAGGGCGCTGTTCGAGCGGGTCCGGTCCTCGCTCCCCGCCGCGGCGGCGGGTGCCGCGCTGCTGGGCCTGAACCGGCGGTGGCGCCTCTACAGATACGAGGAGGGGAGCAAGTACAGGAAGCGGGAGGGCGAAGCAGGCACGGACACAGATGATCGCAGATTTCCGTAGACCGATTGGCCGCATGGGAGATGGAGGGGAGGACGAACATCCAGAACATCTCAAAGCATCATGGGGAACCCCGGAGTTGTCAGAGGAGCAAGATGGCAAAATAGTGATGCGTTCCAAGATCTCAGAGGTGCCCAGGAATTGTCATGTCTCCTAATGCTCCGCACCCACTGCCTCGCTAGATACTCTGAAAATCCGGGGACGTCTCTTTAGCCAATCTTAACGTGACATCTATATTGCTCTCAATTCGCATGTATTTCTGTTTGCCGCCTTTGGCCCCTTAGTGTTTGCGTTTGCTTATCGGTGCCTTCTTCGGCCCCTTGAGTGTTGATCTCTCTTTGCCTCCCTGGGCCCCGTTAGTGTTGAAAACATCAGGGGCGACGGCGAGCGAGGGGGGGAAGTGAGAAGGAGATGGCTTTCTCAGAAGGTGGCGGGGCTTCCCCGAAGCCCCCTCGCCCTCTGAGAAGCTTTCTGTGTCTCCAGGGAGTGCTACGGGAACTCCTCAGAAGCCCTTGGGGGTTTCCGAGCCTTCTGAGAAGGGCGTCTCCTCATTTCCCTTCCGGGCTCGCCGTCCCAAGGGAGATCTTGGAATCACTCCATGATGTTTCAACCAAATTTCGCGTTGATCACCATGAAGAATTTCGAGCACCACAGGAAGTACCGAAACTGGGAGTTTTCACGTGTCGGGCCCTGCGAGGCGATACTCGGTCGAGACTGGTTCGATACCTTTTTGGGTGCTCGAACATATTTTTGGGATGTAGTCATTGATCGGGTTGACCCAAAAGGGGGTCCAGCGACAAGGGGGCGGTGCGATAGAGTTGGCGCAATAGATTTGTGGGATTGCAGTACATTTGCGGCGTGCAATACATTCTGAGCCGCAAACGTATTGCCGGATTTTCGCGTGTAATGCATTGCTCGCAGTACAGTACAATCCAGTTCTCCGGCGCAGTACATTTGCAATACCGTTGCCCCGAATCCATTGCGCCACACCCTTTCAGACCCCTTGTTTGGTCACCCAAAGTACGATGGGAACAGCATAGGAGTCAGTGTTCCTTCCTTTGTGCTTCCCCGGGCCCCGTGGCAAAAGGAAACACCTCGACGGGGCCTGGCCGGCCAGCGGCACGCGGGCGCTCCCGGGCGGCGCGGAGGAGTACGTCTACGACGCCCACGGCGGCGGAGCTTCGGCCGTGACGAAGCGTCCCGGCTCGCCTATTCTCAGAGGAGGAAGAGGTACCCATAGCTCATACCTATACTCTGCACGAACGGAATGGGAACGGAAAGAATTGGCACAATGCTCAACAGCAGTTCGTGTTCATTTTGAACGGGACTCGCTGTCCGCGCAGCCGCGGCCTGTGTCCATTTGAGACAGAAGGCCGCTTGCCCAACAGCGGCCGCTGCTGGTTTGGGATAACATTTGTTGTTGAGCATTGTGCCAATTTTTTCCGTACCCATTTCGAGCGTCCAAATATACATTTGCCCTGTTTCCCCTTCCGTGGGCCTCAGAGGCCCTCGTCGCCACCGCTGGATGCGCCTCGAAATCCTGGTCAGGACGCGCCCTGGGAGAGGTTTGGGGGGTAGCGGTGTCGGTACTTGTTGGTCTCCCCATATACGGTAGGCTCGTGATGCGCTGGCGCGCCGGCGACGCCGGCGAAAGCGTTGCAGGTTGAATTCTGCGGCGCGGAAGCCCTGAGGGACACGATGACGCCTCTGGATCCGACGGAATTCAACGTTGAGCGGTCGTTGCCGCGATCGGTTCAAGGCTGAAAGATCGACGCTGTGTCAAAAACCTTGGTGCGCGCCGACGCCGCGCGAGCCTACCGTACTCGCAAACGTCCGAAACACATGCTTGCTTCGATGTTCTGGATCGTAGATGCCCCGCGGCGAGGCCAGGCCATGCACGAGTAGTTACGTGACCTGCAGTGGCATGCGCTTGTCTATGTAGGCACACCGAAGAGATCGGATGACAACAAAAATGCTAGATAAACAGAACTTCTCGGAAGTCCGCGCGGATTTCTTGATTGGCGCTCGCGTGTCCCCTGGCGGCGCCTCGGGCGCCGATCCAAGAAAATCGCGCGGACCTCTGGGAAATGACGTTTATGTTTTTTCATGTTCTTAAGAATGTTCTAGTATGCGCGGAGTTTTGTGAGATCGTGAAAAAGGTCGATACAGGTCATTTGTCATATATCTTTTTTTATTGTCCAGGAGCAGCTGTTTGTTCTTAGAGGCTTCCTTTGTTCCAGGAACATGTCGTGGTAGGCCTGCAGGGATGCTGGGACGCTCGGTCCCTGGTCCAGGAGCGAGATCACACTTCACCTTTATTGTGTACCTCAACGACGACTTTGAGGGCGGGGCCACCACCTTCTTCGTGCCGAAGGGCACCCAGGAGGGCACGCTGGAGTCGCGCCCCGTGAGACCTCGCACCGGCTCCGCCACGGTGTTCCCCCACGGCGATTGCCCGCAGCCGCTGCTGCACGAGGGCTCGCCGGTGGAGAAGGGCGTCAAGTACCTGCTCAGAACCGACGTCGTGTACGGCTCCGCCACCGACCCGAGCTCCGAGAAGGAGTCAGGGGCAACGTTACGGGAGGCATGACCCGGGTGGTCGGCTGCATCGACCCCCACTCGCCCACTCGTCGCCTGCAGGGGCCCGGTGGCCCAACCCGCCCGGCACCGCCATTGGGGGACCTGCTATCAGCGACCCGTCGGCGGTGTTCCGCCGATTCCAGCTCGCAGCGCCCCGAGCCACCCGTTTCGGCATGTCGGCCCTGAACGGTCGTCCCCAGGACCGCATCAAGCCGCATCGCCGATGCATCGGCGAGATGCGGCGCGAGCCCCCGACCCCATCTACAGTCGGCCCTGATTAGTGGGTCGACCCTCCCAAATCAAGAGTACCCTTGTGTCCTGTATCTCGCGACCCATGCCTCCTACATTCCTATGGCAATGTGGCCCTTGCAAGGGTCTCGTGTCCTCTCGCGCGTCCTGTCCAATCAAGTCCGACTCTGCCCCGTCGCCCTTCAGGAGGGCTGGAGTGGAGGCAGCCCGCCGATGCTGATGTTGGTGTGCCCACCGCTGGGGCAGCCAAAAAGGTCACGTTTTCGGGGTGTGGGGGTGGATGGGGTGGGGGGGTTCTACAGTTGGCCCAGATTAGTAGATCGACCCTGTCAAGTCAAGGGTACCCTTGTGTCCTGTTTCTCGCGACCCATGCCCTGTATAAATTCCCATTCCCATGGCCTTCTACATTCCCTGTCCAATCAAGTCCGACTGTAGGGAGGGGGTTCACGACCCTTTGCGGGTGCCCATGCCGCTATTCCCCGGACCTCTTTTGGGGGAGCGTTCTGACCAGGCTCTCGCGGGAGGCCCTTCTCTTTGCGGAGGCTACCACAGCGAAGCGCAGCAGGCCGAATATGTGGAACCCAGGATTCTCATGGCGCCTGGCCCCTTTCTATACTGGCCTTCCACATGGGGTCTGAGTCGATGGGGTCGGAGGATCGCGCCGCATCGCCGATGCATGGGCGATACTGCTCGATGTGAAGCCCGATTTGCTCCACGCCGACGGCGCCGATGAGTCGCCAATGTCGTCGACGCATCGCCGATGCATCGGCGATGCATCAGGGATGTGCGACCGAGCTTGTGACCGAAACTGAGAATCGGATTGGCGTCCAGCCATACGTTTCGATCACACTCTTGCGCAGCCAGAAACTTCGGGCGCCGGCTTCGGTCACGCTCGGGCGGATTTTCGGGTGCAGTTTCGATTACCACACCCCCCGGTAGAGACCCTTCTGAGCCCGTTCGGCGTCTGAGCCCGTTCGGCCATCGAAGGAGCGCTCGAACGGGCTCAGTTTCCGAAAGGGCCGTGGGAACTGAGCCCGTTCGGCCGCCGAAGCCGAGCGGGCTCAGAAGGGAACCCTATAGGGGAACTCGATCCTCGAATCCTCGAGCCGGGGGAATCCGCTTGGATTATTGGGTACTGAACCTCTCCACACCGAATCTTCGAGCCTCGAATCATCGAATTATCCGTGATCGATCCTCGAATCCTCGAGCTTCGGGAACGCGATCCTTGAATCCTCGAGCCGGATACTGGAATTATCCGCTTCGATCCTCGAATCCTCGAGCCGAGGGAATCCCCTCGGCACCCTGATCATTGGATACTGGAATTTTCAAGTCGCGACCGACAAGATCGGTCGGCTTCGAGTTTGAGTTGAATGACGACATCGGTCGTTACCGATTTTGCTTCAAAATCGGTTGCGACCGATATCGGTCGCGACCAGCCGCGACTGATTTAAGCATCGGTCGCGATCAGTCCCGACCGAGTTGCAGTGCCGATCGGTCGCTACCAATCGCGACCGAACACATCCGGTATCCAATGATCTGGGTCAGCGGACCTTGAGGCCCGAGCGCTGCAAATGGATACAGTCGGGATGCTGAAGAAGGATCCCGACTCGTTTGGGAGGGGCTCCGTGCTCTTTCATTGTTTTACAGCTTGCCTGAGGTATTTCTTAGGTTTTCGATGGGAAATCAAAGGTTGACTTGTGGAAAAAAGGGGCCCCGTTCCTTATTTAGGGTTCCTTAGGTCAACGCCCCGACTGTATGGCCCGAACAGTGCTGCAGAAAGATTTGGTCTGGGGCTCTGGCGTAGAGCTGTACGATGCTCCCATCTTCTGCTGGCGGCGGCGCACCTTCAGAGGGCCGATGAGCGGTCCACGGAACGACTGTTCCGCCGTCGTTGCCCCTCGGCAGGAGGCGGCCGGGGCTAGGACGAGGACAAATCCGTTCCAGAACGTTCTGACAAGGCCGCGGCGCCTGCGACATCCTCCAGAGACGCCGGGTCTCAGAGATATCTTGATTTATCCCCATCCGATGTTCCCTCCGTCCTGGCTTCGTCTTGATTCGTTGCATCGTTAGGGGACCTCGCCTGTCCCAAAAACTGGTGTGTTTTCTCGTTCGATGCGGACTCGACGCTGATTTGGAGTGGATTCGACGCGGATTCGACACGGATCCGACACGGATCCGACACGGACCCGATGAGTCCGACGTGGACTCGACACGGACGCGACGCGGATAGGACCGCGACGGGACAGACCAGGCCCCCTGCAGATGCACCCGAAGTCCTGGCAGGAGGCGGCCCGGCTCCGCGGCCTGGTGCGCAAGCTGGGCGGCGACGCCAAGCTGGCCCGCGCGAAGCAGCCGCAGCCCGCGGGCGGCGCCGCCGGCGGCAGCGCCGGCGGCGGCGACGCCGCTGGGCGGAAGAAGCGGCGGGGGGCGGCCCGCCGCACCGCGACGGCGCGGCACGAGCGAAAGGGGCACGTTGCGCTGCAGCTTCGGGGGGCCTCGCCCTGTCCCCAAGGGGGGCGTCGTTCCTCGTGCCCGATGCGGGCTCGCAGGCGGCTTCGATGCGGATGGGGCGCGGATTCGACGCGGTTTCGGCACGGATTCGACGCGGACAGGGCCGCGACCGACAGACGGGACAGACCATGGTTCCCGAGGATGCAGCATAAGGTGCGGGAGGAGGCGGAGATGGGGGAGGAGGAGGAGGAGGAGGAGGAGGAGGAGGAGGAGCATATGTTTCTCTCCTCTTCCCTGCTTCGAGGTAATGATATGACTGTGATGAGGATGTGTCTCTCCGTTCCCTCCCCCCTGCTCTACCGGGCCTCGGCCCCTAATGTTGTCTTTTCGTCTACTCCCCCAGGGGGGGCCCGACCAGGCCTCCCTGGGGGAAGCGGCAGCGTTCGGAGAACACCATTGCCGACAGGATGCAGGACAGGAGGAGGAGGAGGTGGAGGAAGACCTCTTTTTGTGCCACCCTGTAAGTGTCTTTCCATTTGAAGCGATAGTACCCACAAGCGTCGAAGAAGTTCAGCGGAGGCTCCACTCGCTGTCCTGCCACTGCCGCTGCCCCCCTGTCCTTCACTATGTGGTCTTTATCGCCTGCTCTCGCCATGTGCGCTTTGACCCCTCTTGTACAGTCCGATCCGATCCGATCGGATCCGAGAAGGAGGACCCGTGTAAACCCAAGACGCATCAACGATGTTGGAATAAACACTCCCTCCAAGCTCCGTCTTCATATGCCCCTACAAGGGTCCATCTCCACTGATGGAAGGAAGTGCCTCATGGGGAGACAACGGCTTTCAGATCCTAAAGCGTGCCGAAACACCGCGCGCGGGACTCCAGCGCCACGGATCAACCTGATTGTTGCGTTTTGACAATCCTGAACGGCGTCACCCCAACATTCACATTTTTTATATGTACATCTATACATTTGTGTATATATATACATAGATGTGTCGCCCCACCAGGGGCAACGTGCGCACCGAGAAATCTTATAGTTTAGGCGTCGTGGCCGGCGCTTTCTGGCCACACCGCTCGGGCAAGCATGGACTACAAGATGGGTATACTAGACTTTCGGGTCGGACGCGCGCGCCTCCAAGAAGAACACAGCATGAATACTGGGGCTTCACCTCCGCGAACCAACGAGGAGAGGAGGCCCCAACGACAGAGGGGGATAGGGCAAGGAAATCTGTTGAATGCAGCTTGTTCCCGCCCCGCCCCCGGGCTCATTTCTCGATGCACGGGCGCCCCCTTGCGCCAGGCAAACCAGCTGCTTGAGCTGATTCGCTACCCTGCCCTTGGCGATCCTCCCCTGGCGCCCCCCCCGACAGTCTTACATAGACTCGTCCCCTTGCTGTGGTCTGGCGCTACCATCAGAAGAATCGGCGGACCGGATTTTGCTATCCTACTATCCGACAGTATTAGATAGACTCGTTCCTTGCTGTGGCCAGGCCGACCGGATTTTGCAGCGAGTAGCGGCCGTCGCAGTGCGTGCCGATTTCGCCCTCGAACTGTACAGAGCGCAGCTGCCGCCCAGCGGCGCCGCCCCGAATTTTCTGGCCCGTCCTAAGACGGGTTCGCTGTCGGCGTTGCCGCGGGCGTTGTCCATGTCTGGGCCTCCTACTAGATGGGGTCGGAACAGATGGGGTCGGAGGATCGCGCCGCATCGCCGATGCATCGGCGATGCGACTCGATGTGGAGCCCGATTTGCTTCACGCCGACATCGGCGAAGCATCGCCATGGCATCGCCGATGCATCGCGGATGCATCGCCGATGCATCGCCGATGCGGCGCGATTGTCCGACCCCATCTACTCCGATCCCATCTAGGAGGCCTCTACCATCCGAAACAAGAGGCCGCCTTCCCGACAGCGGCCGTTGTTGGTTTCGTTGTCGATCATCGCGCCCTTTGTTTTCCGTGTACCCAAGAAGGCGAAGGGCGGCGCCGGCAGGAGGAAGCCCGGCGGCTCCGACGCGGGGCCCGAGGTTCCGGCCGCGGCGGGCGCCAGGAGCCGATGGAGGGATCATTTTTGTGGCAGATCCGCGTCGTGTAGACGCGGCGGCGACCCCGCCGCGGGCGTTCAAGAGTCAACGCCGCCTGTGGCCCAGACTCAGTCGGAATGATCTGGCGATGCATACGCCGCCGATGGGTCAAGGTGGAAGGATCCACGGGGTGTCAGAGACCAACCGCCGAAGTTACGACACGAACATGCCGTCGGCCTGCCAGATAGGGTCGGAGTAGATGGGGTCGGAGCATCGCGCCGTATCGA